GTTACCTATCTCCACTCACAGCTGTGGAAATCTGGGACTCTCCTGGGGTTGTAGGAGGAAGTCATGGGGGAAATTAGATGCTGTTTGAGAATTTGGAGAAACTGAAAAGCCTTGAAACACATCCTTTGCAGATGTCAAGGATCTAGTGGAGTCAGCAGCACTGGCTGTCTTCATTTGCTCACAGTCAACTTCCTCCTCAGCCCCTTGGATCTGGCTTCCTCTACTCTGGCCCTTGGAAACCACACTCTCTGAAGTTAATCACAGCTTCTCCTGGGCTTTAAATCATGGGACCTTTCTCCAGCATTTCACAATGAGGTCGTTTCCTTGTCCACGAAGCTTTATTCTCCCTGGGTCTTCACAGGCTCCCTCTTTTTTTTTGCTTCTCCTGCCTCTCTGGCCACATCTTTTCCATTTCTTGCAGGCTTTGCTTCCTGGGCCTATCCCTTAAATGTTGAGGTTCCTTGGGACACAGTCAGAGGCTCTCCTTTCTCATCTCTGGGTGATGTCATCCACTTCCATGGCTCTAGGCACCATCCCAAATCTTTATCTCCAGGCCAGACATCTTTCCTAGGCTCCAGCCTATCTTTCCAGCTGCCAGCTGGACCTCTCCCATAGGCACCTCAGAGTCATTTTATTAAACACTGAACTTGCCACCCTCTCATCCAAACTGCTCTTCTTCTAGAGTTTCCAAGCAAGAAAACTAGGAATCATCTCTAATTCTTTCTTCTCCCTCTACTCTTCACATCAGATCATCTAGCCATCAAGTTCTATTGATTCCTCCCTATGAAATCCCCTTCTCTCAACCTTCTCTCTGCTACTCCGCTAGTCAATACCACCATCATCTCTCCTCTGGAATATCAGCAGTCTCTTAACTTTCCACTTGTGTCCCCTCTAAACTATTTTCCACACAGCAGTCAAAAATTTACTATTGTGGCTCTATCACTCTATACTTGAATCCCCCACCTCCCAAGAAATGTTTCCTTTGCTCTTTGGATAAAGCCTTAATCCCCTAGAAGGGAAGGGTAAAGTCTACACTCCTTCATAAGGCCAGCAATGCATTGTGTGATCTAGCTCCTGCCTACCTACCCAAATTGTTTCTTAACTGTCCTCCCTGTCCGGTGTATGATTCAGTTTCCTGATGCAGAGGCACCATGCTCTCTGTAACTCTCACTCATCCTGGAAATCTCAGCTTGAATGACACTTCCTTCAGGAGAATTCCCTTGTCCTCCAACTTCCAGTATCCCTGTCCCCCACCCAAGTCTATGTTAGGTGACCTCTGTGCTCCTGGAGCAATCTGTGTTTTCCCATCATAGCCCTCACCATATTGCACTGCAGTGATCTATTTATTAGATTGTGGAATCCAGGAAGGCTGAGCTGCGGCTATGCATCTTTGTATTCCCAGGCCTAGCAGAGTTGTTGAATGAATGCTGAATGAGGAAATGAGATGCCTTTCGAACTGAGCCATACAACAGAGGTGGGATAAGCATACAGGATGGCAATAAGAAAGAGGGTGAAATCTCAGCTCTGAGTTCAAGGTTCTCCAGTGTCTGCTGTGATAAACAGTCCACTTAAACCATTGACTATAGGACCTTGGGGGCAAATCTTTAGGGCGCAGTGGGATGGGAGGGTGCAAGTAGAAATCTAGGAGAAGGGCATCGAGTGATCCAGGCAAGCTTGTGGCCTCAGAGGCTGCCTGTCAGGCAAGCCTGGGTGGGGAACTGAAGCAGGAAGGGGAAGGGTGGGAGGAGCTGTCAGACCTGGGATGTAGCCCAATCTCCGCCCCTTTGTAACAGCCTGGGAGAGACCCTTGGCTTGGAGAGGCGGAGCCTGACATCAGCTGCCCCGGCGTGGCCCAGTAGACCACTCCTACTCTTCCTCCCCGCCCTCCCCTTCACCAGACTGAAGCTTCAGCTTGGCTCTGGCCTCCTGTTTCTTACACCAATCCTCAATCTGTCCTCCCTCCTGCTATGTTGTCCTTGTATTAAGTTTCCAGATTCAGAACACGTCACCTCTAGAGAGAACCTCAGAACCCCAGTGTCCACACGAGGAGAGAATCTCTCAGGCATGCCCTTCCTATCCTTCCCATGCCTACCCGCACTCAAACAGAAGGCACATACAGCCTAGCCTCTCTCTGGTCGCTCCTCAAGCCCAGAGAAGTCTCTGAACTGGCCCCACTGCATGCATGTAAACATTCGTTCATATGTTATCTGTAGAGAGACCCCATGATGCAGGCACAGATAGTGTTGACTTGCTCCTAGTCACTGCCTGTTTTGAAGTACTCCAGCTATCTTTCCCTTCTCTTCATGGCAAGATTTCTCTCATTAATTGTCTACATCTGTGGTGTTAATTTCGCCACCTCCATTCATTCTTTAGTCACGCTAACACGGCTTCTGCCCCTGCCGCTCCACCACAATCAAATCTGGTGGACACTCTTCAGTCTTCATCTTATCTCACCACTCCTTTCTTGAATCACTCTCTTCTCTTGATTCCCTTGGTTGCACACTCCCCTGGTTTTCTTGCCTTTGCTCTGGGTTCTTCTTCACTCTCCACTCTCTCTCCCTAGGTGGTCTCATCCATTCTCATTGCTTGTTGCTTTAAGTCATGCCAGTGCTTCCAAACTAATAACCAGCACAGACTTCTCCCTTGAGCACCTGTATTCTATTCCTTACTTGACATCTCTACCTGGATATCACACGGGCGCCTCAAACTTAACATATCTAAAACAGAATGTCCAGGTCTAGCCAGTTTGGCTCAGTGGATAGAGCATCAGCCTGCGGACTGAAGGGGCCCAGGTTGGATTCCAGCCAAAGGCTCATGCCTGGGTTGCAGGCTCGATCCCCAGTAGGGGGTGTGCAGGAGGCAGCCGATCAATGATTCTCATCATTGATGTTTCTATCTCTCTATCCTTCTCCCTTCCTCTCTGAAATCAATAAAAATATATTTCAAAAAAAAATAAATAAATGAAACAGAATGTCCAAAATCACCTCCTCAGCTCTCACTGTCTCTGTACATGGCCCACCATTTGCTCAAGGGAGAAAACAGGGTGTGTGTGTGTGTCATTATTGACATTCCTTTCCTTTCACATCGAATCCATAATGATGTCCTTTTGATTCAACCTCAAGAGTATTTACCAAATCAATCCACCTTCTTACCTATAGCTCTGCTAATAACCAACATCTTACAAGAACTGGGGTAGCCTCCTAACTGGTCTCCCTTCTCCTACTTACTTCTCTTCAATCCTCATAGCTGCCAAAGTAGCTTTTTAATTTATTTCTATTTTTTTTTGTAAATTGTATCATTTCTCACCCAATTTAGGAGAAAATCCAGATTCTTAACATCAAAGTCCTTCCTGATATCATTCCCAAGCTCACCTTCCCAAGCTCACCGCTTGCCTTTTATTCACGTTGCTCTAACCGCATGGTTCTTTCCATTTCTCAATGAACCCTCCAAGAACTTTCATTCATGCTGTTCCTTTAGCCTAGAATGACTTCCTTCTCTCACTCTCTGATGCTCCCACCCTCATCCCTACCATTTTCCTTCCATCCCTCAGAGCTCTGCTTAAAAGTCACCTGCTTGGAGAGGCCTTCCCTGATCACCAATAAAAAAAGTGTTCTTCTTCATAGCATCCTTTTCTTCTTTATAGCACGCCCCTCTCCAAATTTGTAATTATTTGTTTATTTACTTTAAAAATACCTGTCACCACCTCTCTATCATAGGGATAGTGACTGTAGTGACTATATCTGATTTATCAGTCTGATTTGTTTATCTCTACAAAGTAGGCACTTAATAAATATTGGTTGAATTACTGAATTAATTCAATAAATACAGATTGATCCTATGTTAGGCTCTGTGCTATATACCAGTATACAAGAACATTATAGTATGGCATAAGGGCTAAGATGGAGGAAATACAGGGTGCATTGGGACACAAAGGTGGAGCACCTGACCCAGACTTCAGGAAATCAGGGAAGGCCTTCTGGAGGAAGTGACATTTACATAGCGACTGGAAAGACGATTGGGAGTCAGTCAGGCAAAGGGGAGCTTGGAAGAGGATCTTAGGCAGAGGGAATAGAATGTGTGACTGCCCAGTAGTAAAAGAGAAGAAGGAGTTTTCCAGGAACAGAAAGGACAGTGTTACTAATTGTAGAATCATAAGACATGAGGTGTGGGCAAAGCTAAGCCATGTTGGCAAATTTAAGTTTGGACTTTGTCCTCTGGACAATGGATAACTGTTGAAGGAAGTTAAACAGGAAGTTAGTGACAAGATGGAATCTGTGTTTTAGAAGCCTCATTCTGACTGCGAGGGGGATGGATGAGAAGCACAGTGAGGAGACAAGGCTACCAGTTAGAAGGCTGCTGCTGCATCTCAGGAGAGAATTGGTGGTGACCTGGTGGGGCGGTAGCTGTGTGGTTGAAGAAAAGGGGATAAGATATTTAGGAGGCAGAATCCACAGACCTAGATACTGATTGGATGTGGAAAAGAATGCAGTCCTGGGCAGTTGTGCTGTGAGGAGGGTCAGAGGCAGGAGGGGCTGTAGATAGTCAGAGGAGAGACACTCCATCAGGAAGGTCTCCTGGAGGAGGATTTGAGGGAGACAGAGGAGATAAAGGATGAGTGTCTCAGTGAGAGTGGGCATCCGTGTACCATGCACTTGACATGCACTATTGCAAGTCTCAGAACAACCATTTGAAGTAGGGATTGTTATTTCCATAATTGCAAATTAGGAAATTGAGGCTCAGAGATGTTTTATGAATTATGCAAGGGCACATAGCTGGTAAGAGGCTGAGCTGGGTTTGACCCCAATTTAACCCTAAGTCTGTGCTTTTAACCATGGGTTACTCAGCCCACCTACTTCACCTTGCTGCCTCCAGATAACTGCCTGTCTTGCCCCTGGCAGGGAAGAAATGGGGCTAATTCTCTGCAGGGCATTGGAGTGGTGAGGATCAGGTGGGGGAGGGAGCGCTGACTTCCCTGGTGCTGACCATTTCTCCATACACAGGCTGGTGTGAGTGGCAGGAGCCATCAGTGGGCAACATGGCGAAGAGGCAGGACAGCCCTGGCCCAGAGGTCCAGCCCATGGACAAGCAGTTCCTGGTGTGCAGCATCTGCCTGGATCGGTACCGGTGCCCCAAGGTTCTGCCTTGCCTGCATACCTTCTGTGAGAGGTGAGGGTGTGTGTGTCCTGGGAGGGAGGAAGGCCTTGCAGGGCTCCCTGAGAGGAGAGGGGCATGTATAAACCTATAAGAGGTGAGGGAAATCTGTGTACCTATGCAGGGGAGCAGGTAAACTCCACCCTGTAGGAGATGAGGGTTTGATGCAAGAACCCATGAGAGGACCAGGAGCTCCTAACACTGGGCCACGATCCCTCCCCAGAATAGGGCCTTTTCTGCCCCCTTCCCAAGCCCCAAGACGGCCTTCCACGGCATCAAAGAAATCAGATAGAGCTGGGACTCTCAACCAGCTCTGGCACCAGAAGACTTTATGACCAGTGGGAGGATATTTGAAGCTAGGCCTGTCCCTGTTGTCCTGGAGCACTGAGTGCAAGGCAACCCCTTCCAGCCTCTAGGCTTCTATCCGTTATTCATTCATTCAACAAATATTTATGTAACAAGCAACTACACTTGTATGCAGTGACAAACAAAGGCAGATATCTCTTTGTTCTTAAAGAGCTTACAGTATAGCCTTGGCCAGGTAGCTCAGTTGGTTAGAGCATCGTCCCAATATGCCAAGGTTGTGGGTTTGATCCCAGGTCAGGGCACATATAAGAATCAACCAATGAAGCCCTGACTGGTTTGGCTCAGTGGATAGAACGTCAGCCTGTGGACTGAAGGGTCCCGGGTTCGATTCCAGTCAAGGGCATGCACCTTGGTTGTGGGCACATCCCCAGTGGGGGGTGTGTAGGAGGCAGCTGATCGATGTTTCTCTCTCATCGATGTTTCTAACTCTCTATCTCTCTCCCTTCCTCTCTGTAAAAAATCAATAAAATATATATTTAAAAAAAAAAGAATCAACCAATGAATGCATAAATAAGTGAAACAACAAATCGATGTTTTTCTCTCTCTCCCTTCCTTTCTCTCTAAAATCAATCAATAAATTAAAAAAAAATTTTAAAGAGCTCATAATATAGTGAAGGAGAAAATAATCAAATAATCATATAGCCAGGCAACAGGTAAATGTAATATTGCACCTTGAATAAGTGCTGCAAATGAAGTGTAAGCTATGAGAGCTGAGCATATGGGATTTTATAGTTTGGAGAATCAGGGAAGGCTTCCTTGAGGTGCAGTCTGGAGGCTCAGTAGGAGTTAGCTAATGAAGGGAGTGGTAAGAGCATTGCAGGCAGAAGGAAGAACATAGGAAAAGGCCATGTGGCATGAGGGACTGTGTCAGGTCAGTGGGCCTAGAGGAGGCCCGGCCAGGCAGGAGCCAGGCTAGTGATTGAGAGTGGCATGTGATGAAGCTAGAGAGGGAGGTTGAGGCCAGACCACGTGGAACTTTGTGGACCTGTTAGGTAATGTTGCCCATGAAGCCTTTGCAGGGTTCTAAACATGATCACATGTATTTGGACAATGTTCTCTCTCCGGCCCTCATCCCTCATTGCTCTGTCTTTTTTTTTTAAATATATTTTATTGATTTTTTTTACAGAGAGGAAGGGAGAGGGATAGACAGTTAGAAACATTGATGAGAGAGAAACATCGATCAGCCGCCTCGTGCACACCCCCTAACTGGGGATGTGCCCGCAACCAAGGTACATGCCCTTGACCGGAATCGAACCTGGGACCCTTCACTCCGCAGGCCGACGCTCTATCCTAGGGGTCCTCAAACTACAGCCCGTGGGCCACATGCAAATACAAATATTGTATTTGTCCCTGTTTCGTTTTTTACTTCAAAATAAGATATGTGCAGTGTGCATAGGAATTTGTTCATAGTTTTTTTTTTAAACTATAGTCCGGTCCTCCAACGGTCTGAGGGACAGTGAACTGGCCCCCTGTTTAAAAAGTTTGAGGACCCCTGCTCTATCCACTGAACCAAACCGGTCAGGGCTCATTGCTCTGTCTTCAGTGGCCTGGTCTCTGAGTCTTCTCACCATTGTGACCACCCACGCCTTCCCTCTGCCTCCTGCCTTCACTGAAACCTGGCTCAGCCCCAGGGACTCTGCTTCCCTTCTAGCCCTGCTCTTTCAGATTCCAGCTCTACTGCTCTCTCCCCTTTATCAGCTGCACACAGACTCCGCCCTCCTGCCCTTTCCAAGTTCTTCCATCAATTCGAATGACTTTATTATCCATTTATGCCTCTTGGTTCTTGTCTGTTTCTCCGGGATGTCCTCCATACCGCCTCAGTCATACTTTTTCCCAACAACGCGCTGCATCTTGCCATCACCCAGAATAATACCACTTCTTCTGTGGTCATAAACTCCACTGACCCACTCCTGCTCCCATTACCCTCTTCCCACTACACCAGCTTTGACTGGTTATAGACATCCAGTTCTTTCGACAACTCCCTCTTTTCCCAGCCACCAGATCCATCCTGGCCTGCCTTTCTTTCCTACCCATCCTGCATCCTATGGCTGTCCATCTGACTGGCTGCCACAATCCACTCCTTTTCTAAACCCATGTGTCAGAAGCTCATTGCTGGATCAGTAAGATGTCTCTGTACCTTCTCCTACGCCCAGATCACTGAACACTCCTGGAGAAAATCAATGCCTGAGAAATTATAATAATAGCTGCTATGCATTGATTATTTACTATTTGCAAGGGACTGGCATGTATTGATTTACTTAATCTTTACAATAGATACTTTATTATCCCCATTTTGGAAAAGGAGAAACTAGGGTTTAGAGTCATTAAGTAATTAAGAAATGTTTCCACAGTTAGTAGTCAAGGTCTGAATCCAGGTTTGACTGCAGACCCTTCAGTTTTTTTGTTTTTATTGATGTAAACTTGACATACAATATCCTATTAGTTTCAGGTATATATCATAGTGATTGAATATTTATATACATTACAAAATGATCTCTATAATAAATCTTGTTACTATCTGTCACCATACAAAGTTATTATAATATTATTGACTGTATTCTCTATGCTGTACTTTACATCCCCATGACTTATTTTACAACTGGAAGTTTGTACCTTAATCTCCTTCACCTATTTCATCCCCCTTCTTACCCCTTTACACTCTGGTAACTACCAGTTTATTTTCTGTGTCTGTGAGTGTATTTCTGTTTTGTTTAGGTGTTTTAGATTCCACATGTAAGTGAAATTATATGGTATTTGTCTTTCTCTGCCTTATTTCACTTAGCATAATACCCTCGAAGTCCATCCATACTTTTGCAAATGTCAAGATTTAATTCTTTTTAAAAATATATGTTTTTATTGATTTCAGAGAGAAGAAGGGAGAGGGAGAGAGAAATAGAAACATCAGTGATGAGAGAGAATCATCGATTGGCTGCCTCCTGCGCATCCCCTACTGGGGATCAAACCTGCAACCTGGGCATGTGCTCTGACCAGGAATGGAACCATGACCTCCTGGGTCAGGTTGACGCTCAACCACTGAGCCACACCAGCTGGGCAAGAGTTGTTGTTTTTTAAAATATATAAATGGATGTTGAATTTTGTCAGATGCTTTTTCTGCATCGTATCCTATATAATAAAAGGCTAATATGCAAATTGACCCTAACGGCAGAACAACCAGAACAACCGCTCGACCAGTCACTATGAGGCACACTGACCACCTCTTGGTCCCTTTCCCCCAGCCAGCAGACTCCCATCACTTTATGGCGAACAGGGAGCCAGGGGTGGGTGGCGGCAGGGGGTGGGGCTGGCTGCGGGCAGCCAGGGAAAATGGCCCTGATTGCAGTCCAGGCCTAGGGACTATACCCATGCACGAATTTCATGCGCCAGGCCTCTAGTTGACATATGATTTTTATTGTTTTGTTAATGTGATGTATCACATTGATCCATTTGCTGATGTTGAGCCATCCTTGTATCCCTAGAATAAATCTACTCAATCATGATGTATGATCTTTTAATGTGTTTTTGAATTTGGTTTGCTAATATTTTGTTGAAAATTTTGCATCTACTAGTATATGCATCAGGGATATTGGCCTGTAATTTTCTTTTTTTGTGTGGCTTCTTTCTGGTTTTGGTATCAGTGTATTGCTGGCTCATAAAATGAGTTTGAAAGCTTTTCTTCCTCTTTCATTATTTTTGGAATAATTTGAGAAAGATAGATGTTAACTCTTCTTTAAATCTTTGGTAGAATGCACATGTGAAGCCATCTGGTTTTGGGCTTTTGTGTTGTGTTTTTTTTGGGGGGGGTGTAAATTGCTAATTCAATATTATTACTTGTAATCAGTCTATTCAGATTTTATATTTCTTCATGATTTACCTTTGAAGGTTGTGTGTTTTTAGGAATTTATGCATTTTTCTAGGTTTTCCAATTTGTTGGAGTATAATTATTTATAGTATTCTTTAGAGCCTTCACTCTTATGTTCTAGTGGGAAATGAAAGACAATAAGCAAGCAAATAATCAAACAGGTGAGTCACAGCTTGTGCTAAAGTGTTTTGCAGGAAATAAACAGGGAATAAGTGGGGGTGGTTGGGCCAGGGGCTATTCTACATAGAGTCACCAGGAAAGGCTTCCTTGAGGAGGTGATATTTGACCTGACACCCGAGGATGAGAAAGAGGCAAGACATGTGCAGATTGTTCCAGGCAATGGGAAAAATCTTTGCATTGTGCTATGCAACGCCTTAAGGAAGGAGTAAACTGGCATGTTCAGAGACCAGAAAAGAAGCCAGTGTGGCTGAGTGAGGAGGAAAGTGAGATGAAATGAGGCACAAAGGAGTCAGGACAGTTATGGGGTAGCTTGGCAGTTTTAGGAAAGTGTTTGGACTTTATTATAAATGCAGTGGAAAACCATTGGAGGATTTATTTTAGCAGGGAAATAATGTGACATAAATAAGATTTTTAAAAGCTCACTCTGGCTGCTCTGCTGAGAATGGATTATAGAGAAGTAAGAGTGGAAACAAGAATCCAGTTAGGAAGCTATTGTACGTCAGGTATGTGCAACAAAAGGAAGGAGGTCGTGATGAGTTCAAAGGTATTTTGTAGGAGAGACTCCAGAATCCATGAGCTGGGAAGAGAACTACAGTGGAAGAGTAGAATGGTAGAAATGCAGGTTGTAGAGTTGATGCAGTGATGAGTGATGGGATATGGGTGGTGGTGGGAGCATGGGAGTGGACAGCTGAGGTGAAGTGGAAGGAAAATCACTGGGGTGAGAAGATCAAGGAACTAAGAAATCTTGATAGTGGATGGGTCACCTGGTGGATGTCAGAGTCACTGGAACTAATGGGAGGAGTGTGTGTGTAAGGGGATGGGGCGTTGGTGGTATGGGTCAGGGGTTAACAGAGGAAGAGAGTAAGCCAGACTGAAGGGTTTAGTGACTGGGGAAGCAACTCTTAAGTTAGCAGAGACAATAAAAAGGAGGGGTGGTGTAGACAGAAGGCTTGAGCTTTCAAGGAGCTAAAGAATAGTTTAGAAATGTTTCAGCTGGGGTGGGGAGGACTCAACCCCACCTTCTGGCCCCAAGGAATGTGGAGTATGAGACAAAAAACTCTCTACTTGAGAGGACTGCAGGGGAAACTAGGTCACAAATAAGTTAATATTTGTGAAGCACTTAGAATCGTGCCTGGCACATACTGTTTGTTAAATAAATAAAATTAATTAGTTCAGATCTAGAGGAATAGAAAACGTTAACAGAAGAGACCGAAGATACAGGAAAGTTTACAGCATGCAGATATTCCCTCCACAGATTTGTGGTCTGGTCAGTCTGTAAGCTTCCTCTCCTCCACCCTTCAGTGACTAATCCCAGCCTTCCTGTTCTCCTGAATCCTCTCCCTCCTTCACACTCAGCAGCTGATCTTGCCTGAGGCAAGTTAGGCGCAGTCTCCCTAACTTTGTTCCTGTGCTCAAGTACATCCACCTCTCTCTTCCCTCCTCCAGTCAGAGGAGATGGTTCATTCCTCTTCTTCAGACCAATTTGAGCCATTTCCCCATCCCTAGACTTTGTCCCACGTCTTCTAGTCTCTTCCATCTCTCCTTTTTGACTGGCTCCTCCATTTATAAACATGCTCAAGGTTCCCATCAAAAACAGATAAGAACTGTTCTCACCTCTGTCCCTGATAGCTGTCATTCAATCCTTCAACCCCCTTCTTCTTCAAACCTCCCCCTGTTCACTCTTCAACTGGCAACAGTAAGTTTTTGCTTCCCCTATCACTCTGATGTCTCTGTTTTACTTACAGACAAAAGTACTCTCACATTTGCCAAATTTGATGGGCATTTCTCGGTCCTTAATGTTCCCTGACTCCTCAGCTACTTTGGACACTGATGACTATTCTTTCCCTCCCGGAATTGTGCTGCGCACTTTGCTGCTCTGTCACTGGCTCTACCCATGGCTCTTTGTGCCCCTCGTTCAGGATTTGCTGGGTGCTCTGCCCTGCTCTTATCACTGCCAACCCCTTCTTGGCTGATTGTATCCCCTCCCAGGGTTACAGAGGCCATGTAAATTTTGACAGCACCCTCATCTATATCTCTAACCTGTCTTCTCCCCAGCTCTCTACAGGTTCCCTCTACTTGGATGTCCACTGTTACAGTAAGCTCAGCCAGGTCAAGCTGAACTTCCTTAGAAACCACTCCTCTTCCTGTGAATGCCACCACTATCCACTCAGTGCTTTAGGCTAGGAATCTGGGAGTCAACCAAGACTCATCTCTCACCCCCCTTTCTAATCAGACAATACCCCCTACTAGCTACACTTCTTAAATACTTCTCAAATTTATTCCACCTTAGTCTACATTGCTACTGCCTAAATCCAGGTCTTCTCATCTCTTGCCTAAACCAGTGGTCGGCAATCCGCGGCTCACGAGCCACATGCGGCTCTTTGGCCCCTTGAGTGAGCCTCTTCCACAAAATACCACGGCGGGTGCCGCACGTACAGTGCGATTGAAACTTCATGGCCCATGCGCAGAAGTCGGTTTTTGGCCTGGGCGAGTCTATTTTGAAGAAGTGGCGTTAGAAGTGGGGGTATGTTCGCTGAGGTTGACCCGTCAGATTGAGGACGTTTTTAGCAAAGGCCAGCTTAGGAGTACCCTAATTAAGTTAATAACAATGTACCTA